GCAGCTCCCTCTCCTCACCTGTGCAGCTGACGTCATCCAGCCAGATCGGCCCCGCCCCCCGGCCGTACCTGGCCGCACCTGGGCACACCTGAGCACACCTGAGCACACCTGAGCGCACCTGAGCTCACCTGAGCACATTATAAAATCCCATAATTTTGGACCCAAATCTCTCAATTTTCAGCCCCAAATCCCCAAATTTTTGGGACAAAAATCCTTCAAATTTTGGTCCCAAAATCCCAAATTTTTGGAATAAAATCCCACAATTTTTTGGGATAAAATCCCTCAAATAKGAGACAAAAATCCCTGAAATTTTCGGGGTAAAATCCCAGAATTTCAGCCCCAAAACGYCAAATTTTTGACCCCAAATTCCCAAATTTTGACCCCAAATCCCTCAAATTTYAACCCCAAATTCCCCAAATTTCKGACCCAAAYCCCCCAAATTTTCGAGATAAAATGCCTCAACTTTTGACCCAAACCCCTCAAATTTCTGGCATAAAATCCTTCCAATTTTTGGGGAATTTTGACAAGGACAAGGAACGGCACACCTGAGCACACCTGAGCTTCACCTGAGCACACCTGAGCACACCTGAGCACACCTGAGAGCACCTGGACACACCTGAGCTTCACCTGAGCACACCTGGGCACACCTGAGCACACCTGAGCACACCTGGGCACACCTGAGCACACCTGGGCACACCTGTCACACCTGTCCCTGTCACACCTGTCACACCTGTCACACCTGTCTCACCTGTCCATGTCACACCTGAGCACACCTGGGACACACCTGAGCTCACCTGAGCACACCTGTCTGTTCTCACCTGTCACACCTGTCACACCTGTCCATGTCTCACTTGTTCACACACACCTGTCCATTCACACCTGTCCATGTCACACCTGAGCACACCTGTTCATGTCACACCTGTCCATGTCTCACCTGGGCACACCTGTCCCACCTGTTCACACCTGTCACACCTGTCTCACCTGTCCATGTCACACCTGAGCACACCTGGGACACACCTGAGCACACCTCAGCACACCTGAACACACCTGTCCACACTCACCTGTCACATCTGTTCACACCTGTCACACCTGTCACACCTGTCCATGTCACACCTGTTCTCACCTGTCACACCTGTCCACACTCACCTGCGCACACCTGTCCTGTCACACCTGTCCATTCTCACCTGTCCATGTCTCACATGTCTCACCTGTGTCACTCACCTGCGCACACGACAGCCGCGTCCTCGCCGTGGTAGCAGTTGTGTCTCCCCCAGACCCTCACCTGAGCACACCTGGGCACACCTGAGCACACCTGTCCATGTCACACCTGTCACACCTGTTCACACCTGTCTCACCTGTCCACACTCACCTGAGCACACCTGTCCCTATCTCACCTGTCCATTCTCACCTGTCCATTCTCACCTGTCTCACCTGTCTCACCTGTCCATTCTCACCTGTCTCACCTGAGCACACCTGAGCACACCCATCACACCTGTCACACCTGCCAATATCACACCTGTTCTCACCTGTCCATTCTCACCTGTGTCACTCACCTGCGCACACGACAGCCGCGTCCTCGCCGTGGTGGCAGTTGTGGCTCCCCCAGGTGCGGGCGGGGCACTCCCGCAGCTCCCTCTCCTCACCTGTGCAGCTGACGTCATCCAGCCAGATCGGCCCCGCC